AGATTGGCAGCCATAAAATTGAACAAACAAACAAATGAAATGTAATATATTCTTAATGTTTGAAAATATTTAAGGGCCAAGCAATATTCATTTGAACCTTATCATTACCAGAAAAAAATACCTACAATCTATAAAGTTAAAGGTTCCTCCGCACATGCGTGGTAGTCGTTTGTGGCTCTAGGGAGCAATGCTCATCTCCGTTTCTAAGCCGAAGAGCCAGCGCTGTCTGAAGACGTCTCCGTGGTCATGTGGCCGGAATGACTCAGTGCCAAAGGTGCACGGAGCACTGTTACCTTCCCACTAAAGTGACCCCTATTTTTCTACTTGCATTTTTTACATGCTTTTGAACAGGTAGGTTGTTACAAGATAGGACAAGTAATGGGAGCTCACTCTGTTACATGGCGCTATGGATTTGAACCACTGAACTGCCAACCTACTTATCAACAAGCTCAGCATCTTAACCACTGAACTACTGTATCGCTTGCTGCAATCTATAGGTAGTCGTAAAATCATGTAGTGCTGTTTAAAAAAAGCTGTTTTATATTACTGGGGTTGCCTTTTAAAAAAACTTCAGTGGAATCTAATTAACCAGTCAATATGCTATATAAAAACATATGGTATATGTGGTCGAATACTCTTCCTTCAAGGTCATGTTTCATCTTCCTCTTTAGGTTTGGAAAGAGACAAGTTTGATAACAAGACAGTGACTTTCGAGGAACATATTAAAGAGGAGCACAATATGTGGCATTATTTATTCTTCATTGTGTTGGTAAAAGTAAAAGACTCTACGGAATATACAGGGCCTGAGAGTTATGTAGCAGAAATGATAAAGGTGAGTTTTGCCATGTTGTGTGTGAAATACGGCTTGTTCATACTTCTTTTAATTCTTCTAATGCCAGAAAATCTGAATTCACATTCTATGAAGATTTTAAAATATTTGTAATGAGCACTGATGTGTACCTCTTTGGGTTTTTTGCCCATGGAAAAATGTTCTTCTGAACAATTATAATTTGTTTTCACAAAATTGTTACAAAATAATGTCTTGTCAATGTCTGATATTTTTGGAAACTCAGTGTGTGGCCACCCATATGCTTTGGGCCCTCAATATGTTGGATCAGGCCCAAAGTTTGCACAGAGGTTGTGAATTCACTGTAATCCACTCCAGAACTCTTGCAAAAGGAAGGAAACCTGGTAGAAGTGTTCCAGCACTACTAGGTGGCCAAAATTTGAAGATGGAAAAACCTCCTTCTATGCTATTACATTTTTCACAACTTAATCCAAGTCTTGTCTCTCATGTGCAATCTAATTGGGAATACAAATAATTTTGTTATATTTTATTATGAACAGACTTGGCATTTAATAGCAGTAGCCAAAGTTCTTGGGCTCCAAAGATCTAAAATTGTGGATCCCAGTGTAAAAATCCCCTAGAAAAGGCGAGTTTGTTGAAGGTTCCTAAGTCACATTTTCTGAGTGAGCTTACTCTCAGCCTCCTGTCATATCTTTTCTTATGAATCATGCCCCATTCTTCGGTACCCCCCCCCCCCCCTGTCCCATTATCCCAGGATAATGTAGGATCCAATCTGGGACAGTCACCGGGACCAGAAGTCTTTTGTCTTCTAGCAGTGAAGTTCTCTGAAGATGGGCTCCAGTATGAGTCCAAAAGCTTGGAAGACAAAATCCCTGGTCCCGTTGACTGATCCAGATTGGATCCTTTCTTTTCTTGCACATCACAATCAAAATCCCATTCTTCTGTGCCTTCCCCCAAAATACTTACGAGCACCTCCAGCCTATCATTCCCTATCTATCTAAAGTGATAATTACATTATATTAAAGCAGGTGATTCTGGGTTAAATCAGCATCTCAGATTTACAAGTCACCAAATTGCCACCCAAACTACCACCTCAGCCATCTGTTGGATGGATAATATAGAATTCTCATCTGGCTGTCAGACCAACTTCAAATGTTGAGTAGCATTTTATTGTGTATAAATCCCAGATGCTATCCTTGAAAACTTCTAGTTTTTCTTTTAGACTTTTCTTTAACAGCAAATGGGATATCTTTCTTGTTTGTTTATATTTCTGTACGTCCATTTAAGGATTTAACTTTAAAGATTTTTTGTAAACCCTTTTAGAGGCAGAATGCCTTTGTTTTGCCAAATGCTCACTTAATCCTGAATTCAGTTTCCTGATTAATTTAAAGCACTGATGGGCCAGGAGCGTGTGTTTCATTTTTCTCATGCCTTCTGCCTCATCAGAAGTCTATCTGGATGACTATTCCAGCTGAATGTTTGCCTCCATTTGTAATAAAATGCATGTTGTTGCCCTTGGAAGACGCATTATGCAGCATATATTAAATGGGTTTTGAAGATAAATCCCCTTAAAATCTCTTGTTATGTAATCCATTCTGCTTTGAATTCTTTTAAGTCTGTGTCCTACTTCTGAGTATTCCCTAAATAATAGCTTCTTTTAAAAAGTGTTGTGAGTAATCGTCTGACAGTAGATTAATGGGTTAGGAAAGCTTGTCACCTTATCTTGTTCTCACAGGGCTAGAAAGTTTTTGGAATGTAATTTTGTATTTAAGTCAGAAAGCATTTGCCTGTAAAAATAATTGAATGTTATGTTTGTAATGGCATATAAATGACAAAAGTTTTGTAAACATGCGATAGCACATATTAAGGAACTTTTGATACAGAAAACAGCATGGCTTTTTAAATATAATTTAATAACCATTCACACAGCAATCTAGCAGGATGAATTAAAGAGAAGAATGGCCTGTGTTTCTAAGAACATGTGAAAATGCCAAGCAATCAATTATTACCAGAACTTTTTATGGAACAAAATGCTTTTTAAAAATTATACTCCTTGTTCAACAAGGTTTGCATTCCATGGAANCAATATCAAACCAAATAAATTAAAGGCATGAAATGAGAGATAAAAATGGAAGGGTATTTAGCTGAATGTAATTATTATTATTTCTTTCTTATGTTTCTACCCTTGAAAACCATTCTTGTTTATATGGCCATACATTATTTACAAAATAATGCTGTACATAAAATACACTGTAATTTGCTCTTACCTGTCTCTTTCTGAGGATCTGATCAACTCAGAATAACAGTTGTAAGGTATCTTGGAGGTCTTCTAGTCCAACTCTCTGCTCAAGCAGGAAACCTTATAACATTTCAGACAAATGGTTGTCCAATCTCTTCTTAAAAATCTCCAGTGTTGAAGCACACAAAATCTCTGGAGGCAGGTCATTCCATGGATTAATTGTTCTAACTGCCAGAAAATTTATCCTTAGTTCGAGATTGGTCGTCTCCTTGATTATTTTCTACCCATTGCATATTATCCTTCCATCCAATCTGACTTTCTCAGGCTTTTCTTTCCTTTTGACCCATTCATTATTCCTTCCTATATTTGTTTTGTAATTCATTCATCCTCTCTAAACATCTAAACTACCTCACTGTATATCCTTTATACTAGTAGTTCACATTGTATTCAGTCCTTATTCAAAAGCAATCCATATTTATTTTAAGCTTTTCATTCTTGATGTTTTTTTCCTGTTTTATTGCACACACTTTTTCAATGACATTTCAACTGCATTGAGTTACTTCTATATTTCTTCTGATATACTTTCACTTCCATTGAACAAAGACAATCAAAGTATGTTCTCAAGCACACCCACTTTCATGTCTTTCAAGATTTATTTCTTGCAATAGATAATATACTATCTCATTTGTGCATCTTCAAATATATCTATCTACTTCCCTATCTTTATAAACATTCTACCAAAACAAGCATGTTCCTTTACTTGCTCTAGCTCTACTGTGTATACTATATCATTCATTCTGTTTTTCATATCAAAATCTGGGAACTTGATCTTTGATACATTATTTGGTATGCTTGTTGCATAATTCAGTCTACCTAAGATTCATAGCATATGCTCTCTTTCCCACCCAATATACCTATAATATCACCACAGTCATTTCTCATATATTTCTAAATTCAGTACTTCAATACGCTTAATGGTCTAATCCAAAATATATCACATTCCCATGTCCTACTTCCTGTTTTATAATCCACAAGTATAATATGGCACAGTATGGTATGTATTATACATAAAAATAGGAAACCAAAAATAGAAAATTAAAACTACAAACTAGAAATGATTTGCTAGAAAAGAATGCCCAATCTAAATGTGGCATCTATATATCAATCAATCAATTTAATTTACATCCAAAAGGCCCCAAAGTTAGAAATATAATCTAAACCTGGCAGTAGATATATTTTTACAAATAAAATATGTAATAAATATTATATAAAACCCCAACTCATTAATTTGTTACTAAGAGCCTTGCTTTTTATCATCACAGTTAAAAATCTGGTCCTGCTATAATTTTAGGATTTTTATCTGCAAATAATTTTTTTGCACGCTCAGAAGTCTTTCTTCTGGTTTGGATTTTAAAAATTAGGCCAGATAATTTCCTGCCAAAGACTCTTATAAAATTCTCAATATATTATTATATATAAATATTGTCCACCATTACAATATCAGTAGCATTACGGGGGCAAAATCTTTGAGAGATGAGGGTTTTTTTTTCCCCAAAAAATGTTCCATACACAGAGGTGGGCTGCTCCCGGTTCGGCCAGTGGTAGTGAAATTTAGGCCTGGGTCACAGAACCGGCAGTGACCCAAGCTGGCCACGTCCCCGAACCGTTTCCCCAGTCACCAGCATGTTGTTTAGTAGTGCACGCGTATGCACAGTTCACTGTAAATTGTTCTGCACAAGGAACAATGTACATTGAACTGTGCACACGCCCATAGTGCGCATATGGCATGCATGTGAAAGAAGCAAGCACAAGCAAAGTGAACCAGTAGTAAAACTGGGAGCAAGCCACCTCTCCTCATATAATATATTTGATAGCAACACATTTAATTTAGTTTTTGAAAAAGTTGTTCTTTATTTACTTAAATATAAGTTATTCATATATTTAGAGAATTGAAAAAATATATGTGTACTTATAGGTGAACATGATACTTTAGTTTTAGCCATTAATTCCTGTATTCCTGCATTTTAAAAAAAATGGGACTCCAATTTGGATTACATTTCTTTACAATAATCTGTTATTCTATATTCTATGTGTTTTTAAAACAAGAAAGGATTGCTTCAGGAAATCCCAAATGAATCTTTTGTACATATGTGGTTTAAACAGATGACTTAAAAGATTAGTCAGATTGGCATTGATCCTGATTATTTATTCTCCAAAGGTATGTCATCAGCAATTCATTGTATCAAACACAGGCATATAATGTTCACTCATCAAGCAATATGTCCCTTTGTAGCTTTGTTTTTTTTAATATTTTCCATTTACTGTTGCATTTTAGGAACCTCTGTTTGCTGCAAGAGTGATATATGATCTCCTCTTCTTCTTCATGGTGATCATTATTGTCCTTAATCTGATTTTTGGAGTCATTATTGATACCTTTGCTGATTTAAGAAGTGAGAAACAGAAGAAAGAAGAAATTTTGAAAACAACATGTTTTATTTGTGGTAAGTATCAGAATCAGCAAGAGTTCGGTCCAAGGCAGTGTCTCCATTCTTCAAAAGAAATGCATACATTTTTGTGAAGGAATCAACATTTTATGAATGTTTTTAGAATAAATTTCTAGGGGGCATGTAATGTTAAGGCTTAGTGTTCTCATGGATTAGCCAGGGTTGCATGGGCAATTCTAACTTTAGAGAGATGTACAAGGTAAGATCCCCTGGAAATTTGGTGCTGAGATAATCTAGCTATATATAAATGGCTGTGTGTGTGTGTGTGTGTGTGTGTGTTCCAGCATAACTCTGGAACGCCTCAAGCAATTTCAACCAAACTTGGTACACAGATGACTTACTGTCGGGAAACAAATACTGTGAGCGTAAGACACCCCTAACCCACCTCAGGGTGTGTGTTCTGTTAAGATACAGCCTGTTATGCCTTAAAATAGCTTCTACTGTACAGTGCAGTGAAGTTGCCATGATAACAGCTTCACAGTACTCCACAAGGGGGCTCCCACTGGTAAGGGGGAAAATCCAACATTAGAAATAATGTTTGGTCCGGACATTTTCAACTAGGCTTTGATTATTTTTGAGGACAAATGTATGGCTTCTGGGGGCACAGGGAAAATATTTGTAACTAATTTAATTGTCTCCGAAATCAAGGCTTTTCCTGTCTAATACAGGATTAGGATAAATAAATACCTGGGCAATACCTGGTTATCAGCTAGTGTTTTATAAATTACAAAGAAGAACTGTAGTTAGGGCCGAACAATATGGAAGCTGTGTAAACAACCCAGATTATACCTATACTTTAGATCTTACCTGACTGAACAGGAAAGAATTATGGTGGAGAACATAACGAAAATGTGAAGCCAGAGATTAGTTGCTGTAAAAAAAGGCAGATTACATGCATCAAAAGGTTAGGAAGGAACTCAAAAACAGAACTGCCAATGTAACAATGCCTTGTACAAATATAACATGGGACGTGGAATTATGTGGATATTATAGAACCAAAAAGTTAAAGAGCAAATCTATCATTAACCTCTTTCCAACCCTAACCCTATGAGGAAGAACTGGAGCCATTGGAGCTGTTTAGCTTCAAATAAAAATAGGGAAAGATACACATTTTTTTAAAAGTACCTAAAATGTAATTTGTAGAAAAATGCTTTTCTCCTTCTCTCATCGTGTTAAAACCTGAAGGTTATTTTGAAAAGTTACTATCGCCATCTAGCTCCTGACTTGTGGGCTTCCCAAATGCATCTTATTGGCTAGTGTGTAAAAAAAGAGAGGCTACAATAGATTCACTTATTATCTGATCCAGGGTTCTTCTTATGTTTGCTTGTTCTTAATCTTCACACACTTATAAATACCAAAACAGAAATAATCAATCCTCAGCTATTGCTGAAAGTCTGGGTTTTCTTTACATATTGTAAGTCTTCATTTTCTATAAAATTGTATGTAGCCCATAAAAATGAAGTTTTATGAACTGTGAACCACCCAGAAAGTCATTGACAGAGATTGGCAGCCATAAAATTGAACAAACAAACAAATGAAATGTAATATATTCTTAATGTTTGAAAATATTTAAGGGCCAAGCAATATTCATTTGAACCTTATCATTACCAGAAAAAAATACCTACAATCTATAAAGTTAAAGGTTCCTCCGCACATGCGTGGTAGTCGTTTGTGGCTCTAGGGAGCAATGCTCATCTCCGTTTCTAAGCCGAAGAGCCAGCGCTGTCTGAAGACGTCTCCGTGGTCATGTGGCCGGAATGACTCAGTGCCAAAGGTGCACGGAGCACTGTTACCTTCCCACTAAAGTGACCCCTATTTTTCTACTTGCATTTTTTACATGCTTTTGAACAGGTAGGTTGTTACAAGCTAGGACAAGTAATGGGAGCTCACTCTGTTACATGGCGCTATGGATTTGAACCACTGAACTGCCAACCTACTTATCAACAAGCTCAGCATCTTAACCACTGAACTACTGTATCGCTTGCTGCAATCTATAGGTAGTCGTAAAATCATGTAGTGCTGTTTAAAAAAAGCTGTTTTATATTACTGGGGTTGCCTTTTAAAAAAACTTCAGTGGAATCTAATTAACCAGTCAATATGCTATATAAAAACATATGGTATATGTGGTCGAATACTCTTCCTTCAAGGTCATGTTTCATCTTCCTCTTTAGGTTTGGAAAGAGACAAGTTTGATAACAAGACAGTGACTTTCGAGGAACATATTAAAGAGGAGCACAATATGTGGCATTATTTATTCTTCATTGTGTTGGTAAAAGTAAAAGACTCTACGGAATATACAGGGCCTGAGAGTTATGTAGCAGAAATGATAAAGGTGAGTTTTGCCATGTTGTGTGTGAAATACGGCTTGTTCATACTTCTTTTAATTCTTCTAATGCCAGAAAATCTGAATTCACATTCTATGAAGATTTTAAAATATTTGTAATGAGCACTGATGTGTACCTCTTTGGGTTTTTTGCCCATGGAAAAATGTTCTTCTGAACAATTATAATTTGTTTTCACAAAATTGTTACAAAATAATGTCTTGTCAATGTCTGATATTTTTGGAAACTCAGTGTGTGGCCACCCATATGCTTTGGGCCCTCAATATGTTGGATCAGGCCCAAAGTTTGCACAGAGGTTGTGAATTCACTGTAATCCACTCCAGAACTCTTGCAAAAGGAAGGAAACCTGGTAGAAGTGTTCCAGCACTACTAGGTGGCCAAAATTTGAAGATGGAAAAACCTCCTTCTATGCTATTACATTTTTCACAACTTAATCCAAGTCTTGTCTCTCATGTGCAATCTAATTGGGAATACAAATAATTTTGTTATATTTTATTATGAACAGACTTGGCATTTAATAGCAGTAGCCAAAGTTCTTGGGCTCCAAAGATCTAAAATTGTGGATCCCAGTGTAAAAATCCCCTAGAAAAGGCGAGTTTGTTGAAGGTTCCTAAGTCACATTTTCTGAGTGAGCTTACTCTCAGCCTCCTGTCATATCTTTTCTTATGAATCATGCCCCATTCTTCGGTACCCCCCCCCCCTGTCCCATTATCCCAGGATAATGTAGGATCCAATCTGGGACAGTCACCGGGACCAGAAGTCTTTTGTCTTCTAGCAGTGAAGTTCTCTGAAGATGGGCTCCAGTATGAGTCCAAAAGCTTGGAAGACAAAATCCCTGGTCCCGTTGACTGATCCAGATTGGATCCTTTCTTTTCTTGCACATCACAATCAAAATCCCATTCTTCTGTGCCTTCCCCCAAAATACTTACGAGCACCTCCAGCCTATCATTCCCTATCTATCTAAAGTGATAATTACATTATATTAAAGCAGGTGATTCTGGGTTAAATCAGCATCTCAGATTTACAAGTCACCAAATTGCCACCCAAACTACCACCTCAGCCATCTGTTGGATGGATAATATAGAATTCTCATCTGGCTGTCAGACCAACTTCAAATGTTGAGTAGCATTTTATTGTGTATAAATCCCAGATGCTATCCTTGAAAACTTCTAGTTTTTCTTTTAGACTTTTCTTTAACAGCAAATGGGATATCTTTCTTGTTTGTTTATATTTCTGTACGTCCATTTAAGGATTTAACTTTAAAGATTTTTTGTAAACCCTTTTAGAGGCAGAATGCCTTTGTTTTGCCAAATGCTCACTTAATCCTGAATTCAGTTTCCTGATTAATTTAAAGCACTGATGGGCCAGGAGCGTGTGTTTCATTTTTCTCATGCCTTCTGCCTCATCAGAAGTCTATCTGGATGACTATTCCAGCTGAATGTTTGCCTCCATTTGTAATAAAATGCATGTTGTTGCCCTTGGAAGACGCATTATGCAGCATATATTAAATGGGTTTTGAAGATAAATCCCCTTAAAATCTCTTGTTATGTAATCCATTCTGCTTTGAATTCTTTTAAGTCTGTGTCCTACTTCTGAGTATTCCCTAAATAATAGCTTCTTTTAAAAAGTGTTGTGAGTAATCGTCTGACAGTAGATTAATGGGTTAGGAAAGCTTGTCACCTTATCTTGTTCTCACAGGGCTAGAAAGTTTTTGGAATGTAATTTTGTATTTAAGTCAGAAAGCATTTGCCTGTAAAAATAATTGAATGTTATGTTTGTAATGGCATATAAATGACAAAAGTTTTGTAAACATGCGATAGCACATATTAAGGAACTTTTGATACAGAAAACAGCATGGCTTTTTAAATATAATTTAATAACCATTCACACAGCAATCTAGCAGGATGAATTAAAGAGAAGAATGGCCTGTGTTTCTAAGAACATGTGAAAATGCCAAGCAATCAATTATTACCAGAACTTTTTATGGAACAAAATGCTTTTTAAAAATTATACTCCTTGTTCAACAAGGTTTGCATTCCATGGAAAGAAGCTGTGTGTCCACATATCAGTAAAAATAGGCTTTGTTGGTTATCTCAGGAACCACATCACCAGTAACTGCACTTGACTTGTCTTGGCTGTCAAGGGTATTGAAAAATACTAAAATACCAAATTCTCAAGCTGAATGAACCTTCAGAGTCTCTCAGAAAACAATAGCAATTCCATCTGCACTCTAGCTGGTATGTCATGGCTGCTGCCAAACCAGAAACCCTATGAGTACCATTTGAAAGAAGGACACGCCTTGTCATGCTTTGCCTGGTCTCAGTAACACATGCCAAGTCAGGTCTCTCGTCTAGGATTAGATCCCAGATGAGATTAACCAGCTGGAGGTCAGAGCTGCTCAAAATTTGACAACCAGGAACTGGAGATAGAGGCAGGTGACTGGAACATGGGACCTATAAGAGACATAGGTTTTCCATTCCCTGTAAGCAGTCTATCCCAATTCCCACAATATCTCCCATTTACTACTATTACTACTACTACTACTACTACTACTACTACTACTACTACAATCTTATTCTTATCTGCTCTTAATTCTCCCAAACTCCTCCTCATCCTTGCTCACTGTCCATCATGGCCAAGGTCTGGTTACATCATCCTTTCACACCCTGTTTCTCAGGTTATCAGATTGGCATCAGGACAGTCCTGTCAAGCACTCATTGCTAGCACAACCACACCCTAATGTGCAACCCTTTATGAGGATTAATTGCAGCCCCACCCTCCTTCCATTGTTCATAAACTTCATTCATGAAATTCAGTACTAGTAGCGACTGCAAACATTTCTAAAGAAAAGCCATGGTAAACAGTGGGACATTGTACAAGTGAAAAAATAATTTTGTTAGAACGCTTAAGACACCTTTTTCTCTTTATTGATATAGTGCAGAAATACTACTTCCAAAGGTTTTTTTTTTTAAAAAAATCAATTATGGATGTTTCCCCAAAAAGGCAAGATACACAGGGGTTTAATGTGCCCAGTTAATTTTATAGCTGTAACAATTGGCTTTAAAAAGTGGGTGTGCCATACCATGCTGCTGCAGGATAGAATAAATCCATTCTGCATGTATCTAGTATTGTCTGCCCTCTAGGGGTATAGTTGGTATCTACTTTTGCCATGGCAAACTGATCTTTTGTGTCACCCTGTTGTATCATTGCCTCATTAATTGAAGATAAAAATGGAATGGTCTACAGAGCTGATCACCTGTATGATTGGCTATGTAGAATCAATTTGCTTTTATTGTAACTGGCCACAAATAGGGATCTTTCTCATTTTATTTCAAGGACTATTTCTTGTGGTTTGGTAAGTAAGGCTACTTACATTTAATAGCAACCATGGTTGCCATAAAAATTAATGCAGCAGGGATTGCAAGCTCTTACATGCTGAGATAGAATCGTTAATAATTTCTACAACTAACTTATGTTAAAAACTCTTTCAGATTGAAAATTGCAGAGCTGACTACTATACAATTTAGGTGGTCATGCTGACTCATTCTTTTACTGATCTGTACCATGTTTAATCAATGTTATTTCTCTTATAACATGCCTTTTTCTTTTTCTGTGGTTTCAGGAAAGTTCATTTTAATCCTTTCTTCTGGGTAGCGATGTAGCCAGCTAAACATTGATTGCCTATCTTAATGCTTCTAGGATTCCTTGCCTTGTGGAACTTCCTTGCAATCATCAATTTTATTTTCCCAAACCTGCAAAATAGTATTTTAAAAAATTGCACTTGCCTTTACAAGAAAACACAAGGAATTTCTTGAGGTCACTATATGAGCTGATCAATATTCCCTCTTTGTGATCAACACAGCAAAGCAAAAAAAATTACTTAACTGGTACACTAAGATGCTGTAGTTCTTTTAGAAACAAAATTAGCATACATTTGTACACTAATTCCCTCACCATATTACTATGATGGGAATCTTGAGGATGGATGGATGGATGGATGGATGGATGGATGGATGGATGGATGGATGGATGGATGGATGGATGGATGGATCTTTTCTGTCATCCACATATTGCATAGAAAGGCAGTGGCACTTTTGTAACTTATTTTTTACCTAAGTATTTATACCTGTATTTGCAATGTCTGGGAAAAGGAAGGTAACTTGTAATTAATGCAGATAATGTACATGAGAGCATATGCACCAAAGACGAATTCCTTGTGTGTCCAATCAGACTTGGCCAATAAAGAATTCTATTCTATTCTATTCTATTCTATTCATAAGCTACAGGAGTTCCATTGCAGCTGATGCAGGCTGCTTTGGCTGTTTGTAGGTCTCTTCTCCCACATACTGTAGCTTAGCCAAAGTGAGCAGGGTGAAATTGAAGACTTCTGTTTGATTCTCTCTTCCCTTTGGCACTGGACCAGCCAGCATGCAAATCACCAGACTGCTTTATGTGGGTTTTTTGTTTTTTTTAGCTACAGCCTTGAACAAAATAGCCTGCTTGAGCCAGGAACAGGAAAGTGAAAAGAGCCAAGAGTTTCCACCAGTAGGAAAACAGATTGCCCAGAAGTTCATGTATTGCAGCTTATAATAACCACAGTCTAATTCCAACATTAGTTGACCAGATAGATCTAGAACAGATTTTGAACTGTCACAAAGTCCTTGTATGAAATGTATTTAAAGTTTAGGAGTTAATTCTTCCTTATGCCCAAATAATTGTACTGTGGAGAGTCCCCTAATGTACGTGTGTATCTGTGGCCGTGTATAGTATTTGGGACACATTCACAGTCAAATCAAATACTTGAAAAACCTTTTTTTTCCCATTAGACTTGAAAGTTTAAGAGAGGATGTAGAATTGTTTACTTACATAATTTGCTTGCTTGCTTGCTTGCTTGCTTGCTTGTATGCCATTCATCTCATCTAGAGGCATTTTTACTACTTTGGAAATATCAGTACTAACTACACTATTGGATTGGTGGGTCATGAGTAGT